GGGATTACAGGCTTGAGCCACCGCGCCCGGCCCTTGCCTCTTTTTAAACTTCACTGTCAGTGTGCCTGACGGTATTCAGTTTCCTGCAGTGTAATAGTTTATGGACTTTGAACCCAGATTTGTATAAATTATATGTAAAATGAGAGTAAACAGATTTCGGGTGAGAATCAGGTAATTTTTTCAATCAACTTTCTCAGGTTGAAAGCATTTTTTGTAGCTGGGTGCAGTGGCTCACACCTGTAATCCCAGCACTTTGGGTGGCTGATGTGGGTGGATCACCTGAAGTCAGGAGCTCAAGACCGCCCTAACCAAAATGGTGGAACCCTGTCTTAAAAAAAAAAAGAAAAAAAAAGCGTTTTTGTAATTAAGGAAAAATATATAGGCTTTTGCGTATGATCTTTGGGGTCTTTTTGGTTGCTTAGAGGCTTTATATTTTTTTCTATTCAGTTTTTAAATTGAGATATAATTCATATACCATAAAGTTCACCCTTTTTAAAGTGTACAGTTTAGTGGTTTTTAGTGTGTTCACAAAGTCAGGCAACCATCACCCCTATGTAATTGCAGAACATTTTCATTCCCCCACAGGAAACCCCACTCCCATTAGCAGTCACCCTTTATTCCCCTCTCTGGATCTCCCCAAGCCCTTGGTAGTCACTAATACCTGCTTTCTGTCTGTGTGGATTTACCTGCTCTGGATATTTCATGTAAGTGGAATCATATAACAGGTGGTCTTTTGTAGTTTTTTTAGTGTCTTCTTTCACTTAGCATGGTTTTACAGTTCATACTGTAGCATGTGTCAGTACTTCATTCCTTTTTATGGCTAAATCATATTTCTGTATATGGCCATATTTTGTTTATGATATTTGTATTGTTTCTGCTTTTGGGCTATTACTGAATAATGCTGCTATGAATATTTATGTGCCAGTTTTTGTATGGCTATATGTTTTCACTTCTCTCGAGTATATATATACACACAGGAGTGGAATTGCTGAGTCATATGGTACTGTGTTCAACTTTTTGAGGAACCTCCAAATTGTTTCCACAGCAGCTGTACCATTTTTCATTCCCCCAGCGATGTATGTGGGTTCTGATTTCTTGCTGATACTTGTTATTAACTTTTTTTTTTTTGCATTAATTATTTTTATTTACAGAAACAGTTATTTACATTTAACCCAGTTTCATGGCAAGTTCTTTAGCCTTTGCCTTTTCTAGCTTGGCGATGCGAGCCACAGACTTGGGACCCAGGACATTGCCTCCCCAGTGACGCTGGATCTCATCATATCTGTCATTGTAGTTGGTGCGGATAGCTTCCACCAGCTTAGCCAAAGCACCTTTGTCTTCCGAGTTAACGTGTGTGAAGGCGACAGTGGTGCAGGTCTTCCTATGAACTAGACGTCCCAGTCTTGCCTTCCCCTTGATGATGCAATAAGGGACTCCCATTTTACGACAGAGGGCAGGCAAGAAGACAGCCAGCTCAATGGGATCCACGTCGTGTGCAATCACCACCAGCTGAGCTTTCTTGTTCTCCACCAAGGTGGTGACGCTGTTAACTCCTGCTCGAAGGACAGGTGGTCTCTTAGTGGGGACGTCCCCTTTGCCAGCCGCTTTTTTCTCGGCCTGGGCCAACAGCCTCTGCTTCTTTTCTTGCTTTGTCTCTGGTCTGTACTTGTGGGCCAGCTTAAGCAGCTGAGTAGCTGTTTGGCGGTCCAGGGCCTGTGTGAACTGGTTAATTGCAGGAGGCACTTTCAGCTGCTTATAGAGGATGGCTCTCTGCCGCTGCAACCTGATATAGCGGGGCCATTTCACAAAGCGGGTGAGGTCTCTTTTGGGCTGGATGTCTTGTCCAATGCTAACATTTTTAGGCCTTTTCTCAAATAGTGTATTCACCGCTTTCTTGGCCTCCTGCTTCTTCACGACAGCAGGGGCCGGAGCCACCTTCTTCCCCTTGGCCTTCTTTCCTTTCGGCATCTTGGGCGACGGGAAGAGAGCTTTTTTTTTGTTTGTTTTTTGAGGCAGAGTCGCTCTGTCGCTCAGGCTGGAGCACAGTGACGTGATTTCAGCTCACTGCAACCTCCGCCTCCTGGGTTCAAGTGATTCTCCTGCCTCAGCCTCCCGAGTAGCTGGAACTACAGGTGCCCACCACCACGTCTGGCTAATTTTTTTTTTTTTTTTGTAGGGACGGGGTTTTACCAGTTACTGACTATTTTAGCCATCTACTAGTGGTGACTTGAGGTTTTCAGATGCATGTGAATACTTTCTCATGTGCCTATTGGAAGGTTGTATATAGTTGTCCTCCCTCATCCTCAGTTTTACCTCCCTTGAATTCCGTTACCTGAATCAACCATGGTCTGAAAATATTAAATGGAAAATTCCAGAAATAATTCATAAATTTTGAATTGCATGCAGTTCTGAGTAGTGTGATGCAATCTTACAGCGTTCTACTTTGTCCCAGCCGGGATGCAAATCATCCCTTTGTACAACATCTCAATGCTGTATGCACTAGCATCTGTTAGTCACTTAGTAGCTGTCTTAGTTATCACATTGAGAAAACAATATATATAAGGTTCAGTACTATCAGGCATCCGCACATGTTGTATTGCAAAGGGGGACTATTGTATCTTCTTTGGAGAAACATCTATTCAAATCCTTTGCCCATTTTAAAGCTGCATTATTTGTCTTTTCATTGTTGAGTTGTAAGATTTCCCTACATATTCTGGATACTAGACCAGATACGTGATTTGCAAAACTGTACTCCCATTCTATTGGTTACCTTTTCACTTTCTTAGTAGCATTTCTTGAAGCACAGACATTTTTATGGTGAAGACCAATATTTATTTGGTTTTTATACTTTTAAGAAATCATTGCCTAATTCAAGGTCATGAGGCCTGTTTTTTTTTTAAGAGTTTTGTAGTTTTACCTCTTGTATTTTTGCCTTTGGTCCATTTTTGCATTAATTTTTGTATATGGTGTGAGGTAGAGGTCCAACTTTATTCTCTTGCATGTGGATATTCCTTTGTCTCCTTACCATCTGTTGAAAACACTGTCCCTTTTCATTGAATGGACTTGTTGCTCTTGTAGGAAGGAAGTAAATTGACAGTAGGTATAAGGTTTTATTTCTGGACTCTTAATTCCATTTGATTAATCTGCGTATTTATCTTAATGCTAGAACCACACCATCTTGATTACTATAGCTTTGTACTAAAGCTTTGGAATCAGAAAGTGTGAGTTCCCTAGCTTTGTTTTTCAAGATTGAAAACAATCTTGAAATCTGCTATTCTGGGTCCCTTGTATTTTTTTTTTTTTTTTTTTTTTTTTTGACAAAGTCTTACTCTGTCACCCAGGCTGGAGTGCAGTGGCACAATCTTGGCTCACTGCAGCCTCTGCTTCCTGGATTCAAGCGAGTCTCCTGCCTCAGCCTCCCAAGTAGCTGGGATTACAGGTATGTACCAACAATCCTGGCTAATTTTTGCATTTTTACTAGGTTTGCATTTTCACCATGTTGGCCAGGCTGGTCTCGAACTCCTGACCTCAAATTACTGCCCACCACAGCCTCCTAAAATGCTGGCAGGTGTGAGCCACTGTGCCCAGCCTCCCTTGAATTTCTGCATAAATTTAGAATCAGCTTGTCAATTTGATCCCAAATATAATTAAAAAAAAAAATAGGGAGTCTTGCTCTTCACCCAGGCTGGAGTACAGTGGTGTGACCTCAGCTCACTGCAGTTATCGCCTCCTGGGTTCAAGCGAGTCTCCTGCCTCAACCTCCTGACTAGCTGGGATTGTAGATGTGTGCTACAACCCCTGGCTAATTTTTGTATTTTTAGTAGAGATGGGGTTTTACCTTGTTGGCCAGGCTAGTCCCGAACTCCCAGCCTCATGTGACTCGTCCACCTTGGCCTCCCAAAGTGCTGGGATTACAGGCATGAGCCACTGTGCCCAACCCCTGAATACAGTGTTTTCTTATCAAAAAGAGCAACAGGGGCTGAGCATGATGACTCATGCCTGTAATGCCAGCACTTTGGGAGGCTAAGGTGGGCAGATCACCTAAGGTCAGGAGTTTGAGACAAGCCTGGCCAACACGGTAAAACCCCATCTCTACTAAAAATACAAAAATTAGCCAGGAGTTGTGATGCACATCTGTAATCCCAGCTACTCTGGAGGCTGAGGCAGGAGAATCTCTTGAACTCGGGAGGTGGAGGATGCAGTGAGCTGAGATCGAGCCACTGCACTCCAGCCTGGGCGACAGAGCAAGTGTTCATCTCAAATAAACCAACAAATAAGAGCAGCAGGAATTTTAATAGATATTGTATTGAATTTGTTGATCATTTTGCGGATTACTGCCATCTTAACAATACTGCTTTCCACTGCATGAATATTGAATATCTTTCCACTTACATTTTTATTCATTTTTGTTGTTGTTGTTTTAGACAGAGTCTCACTCTTGCTCAGGCTGGAGTACAGTGGCACAATCTTGGCTCACTGCAACCTCTACCGCCCAAGCTGTGATGATCCTCTCACCTCAGCCTCTCTAGTAGCTGGGCCCACAGGTGTGCACCATCATGCCTGGCTAATTCTATATTTTTTTTTTGTAGAGAGGAGGTTTCATCATGTTGCCTATGCTTGTCTCAAACTCCTGGGCTCAAGCAATCTGCCTGTCTCTGCATCGCAAAGTGCTGGCATTACAGGCGTGAGCCACCTTGCCTGGCCTTACTTATATCTTCTTTAATTTATTTCAGTAATGTTTTGTAACGTTCAGTGTTCAAGTCTTTTGCCTTCTTAGTTAAATTTATTCCTGTTTTGTTTGATGCTATTGTAAATTGAATTAATTATTTTAGTGTTCGTACATAGAAATATAGTTGACTTCTGTGTATTGATCAGTACTTTGCAACTTCGCAGAACTCATTTGTCGGCTCTAGTCGATTTTTAGTAGGTTCCTTAGGCTTTTCTAAATACCAAATCATGTCATGTGCAGTTAGAGGTAGTTTCACTTCTTCCTTTTCTTTCTGGATGCATTTATCTCTTTTTCTTGCCTAATTCGTCCTGGCTATATTCAATAGGAATATCAGGAGTGGCCATCTTATTTTTCTCATGTTGAGGAGGAAAATGTTCACCTTATAACATACTCAACACCATTGAGTATGTTAGCTGTGAGATTTTTGTAAAGGCTTTTTATCAGGTTAAGGAAGTTTTATGTGTCTTGTTTTTCAGTGTTCTTTGTTTTTTGTTTTATCATAAACAGGTGTTAGAGATCTTTATGTTTCATCCATGGTTTTTATTTTTTTAATAGATGAGGTTAGGGACAGCTGAGTGCTAGTTAAATAGGGTACATAGAATCTTGAACAGAAAACTGGTTTGAATAGCTTAAGCCAAAGTAGGTATTTGTTGATTCATAAAATTCTAGGAAAAAAGAATATCTTAAATTACACTATTACAGGCATGGTGGCTTATGCCTGTAATGCCAACACTTTGGGAGGCTGAGGCAGGTGGATCACTTGAGGTCAGGAGTTGGAAACTAGCCGAGCCAACATAGTGAAACCCCGTATCTACTAAAAAATACAAAAAAAAAAATTAGCTGGACATGGTGGCACCTATCTGTAATCCTAGCTACTTGGGAGGCTAAGGCATGAAAATCGCTTGAACCCGGGAGGCAGAGGTTTG